GTTTCCCCGACAAAAGTCATACAAGAGAATAAAAAAATATTCTGAATATTAAACAATGGATTATTGTTAATGATATAATAGGCTCTCAGGGTGGCGGATCGGCGTGAAAACTAACAGTTCCAGTCACCCGTGGTGATTTGACAGACAGCTAACGTAGTGACGGGTACGAGTCGTCTAATATAATAATAACCGTTTTGACACCACCCTCGTAGATTGCTTTTTTTTTATTGTGTAGGTGGGTTAAACGATGAAATAATGAGCCATACCGTATAATAAATACGCTTAACCAAATCATGTACCAATTATATCGAAAATCACGGAATTAATTAAATGTGCTTTTGCCTATATGATATATAAATTTTGAACATAATGATATATACATTGTTTATGTAGATGAATTATTTATTTAGCGTATCTATTACGTATATGTTAGTATGATAAAGTTAAGTAGATTATTAATCAAATAATTTGAAGATTAAATTATAATGCCGCAATGTATATAAAAATTTAAAAATTTATTCACTTTTTAGTTTTTATACAATTAAAATTAAATGTTAATTTTTTTTTACAAATACAGCAAGCAATAGTTATACCTAAGTAATATTACGTATATAATATATAGACATATAGGTACCCAATAATATTACCTATTATTGAACAGTGGCTTATTATTAGACTTAATTTTTTGGGGGGGAATTGGGGGAAAATTAATAAATTTTGTTCAATCTTAACTGACGAAAAAGAAAGCGTTAAATAAAAAATTGCTATATTCAAAAACCGTAGCCTTCTCCTCGCTGTCTATAGTCAATATAAATATAACATAGATAAAACATAGAAAAATATTTATCTGGAATAGCCTTATTAAAAAAAAACTCTTATGAAAATATGAAATCAACAATAGTAGGTATTATTGAGTGTTGATACCAAACCCTAAATAGAACCCCCACAAAGGCGGGGCTGTTGGTCTCTGGATATAAGGGCTCGGCTTTTTAGAAGCCCATTGAATAGAATTTGCAATCTTGAAATTTTGTTCGGTATAATTATTTTACTAGTTAGTTTAATGTTAAAGAGGAAACCCGTATATGAGTAAAAGTAAAAAAAAAAAATAAATATCAAATTATGGTGTAAATGTATATTAAATCTATAAGATTACGTTAACACGTTGATTGCAATGCGACTGTCGGTGGTGTGAAAAAGTGTGGAACACTCAAGTCGCTTACAATGTGTTCCACACTTGTATTTTTTTGGAAGTTTTGTTGTATTGTATATAGGATCTGCAAAAACATTTAATACAAAGGCTCGAAATTTGATGTAGGGGATCTTATATAAAATAATAATGGACACATTTCAGACATTTTGGCGGATATATCTAAAGTTATATCTATRTCTAAAGATACCTAATGAGTGCCTAATGTAATGTTTTACGGTTCTACCTATATTGAAACCAAAACCAAAATATTTTTCTTTTAACCTAACTATCGGTACATAGTACATCAACTATCAAGTATAATTATAGCTTAAATTATTACAGTTTATACATAACTAAATAATTTAGTTATATATTTTAAAATCAAATTAAATTATACGTGTACATTTCAGTAGGTAAGTATGCCTAATTAACACAATTAATTTTTTTGATTAATAATATTTTTTTACGTAAAAATATATTAAATTATTTTCCATTTTTACAATTTAATATTTACAATAATATTAGTTATTTTTTTTTTACCTTCTACAGGCCATTAAGGCCCTTCGCTGCTTCTACTAAGCCTCTCCATYGGTCTCTCATCATTTAATATTAGTTATAGGTACCTACTATTATAAGCATATAAATTATAAACACCTAAAACTCTATGTAATTAAATACCTAACGATTAAATATTGGCCATATATTCTGCAATAATATGTCGGAGTCCCATACGGTTTTATGTGTCTCATACGCAATAATAGGTGCTACATAGAAAAATTTATAAAGTATTTAATACAGCAGTATACACCATCATATTCATATATTATGTTTATTATGATTTATGTTGGTGTCTGCATTCTGCTGCAATGACGTCTAATACGCATTTCCAAACTATAATACTATGCATATACAAAATAATATATGTTTACATATTATTTTCAGCTATTTAACGCCATGTGTGCAGTGAAGTATGCGTGTATGATAAAGTGTGTTCACGTCTGTTTTCCCATTTTTTTTTTAACAGTCATTTTCAACAACGATTGGGTTCAAAAAGAAAAAAGTCGTAAAAAAAATATTAAGTAGTAGAACATCCGATTAAACGTTTTGTTCGGCTGAAGGATAAAGAAAGTATAATGTAACGTCTTTGTCGGTCTTCTTTTTTATTTCGGTGACACATACACTAGGATGATACCCCATACACATATATACAAGACTTCCTACATTTTTTTAAACTTAAACTGGCGGCAAATCAGTTACAATGGCCGTCGCATCTGGTGTGCGCCCGGAACAAAATGGCGGAGACGCGGCACCCTTTGCGCCCTTTTTTCTCTTTCACTATTGATTTCCGTTTCCCCTTATATAATATATATACTATAAACATGTATTTGTCGCTGCCGTCTCTCTCTCTCTCTATGTATATATATATATATATACGTATTATACATAGGTATATACGCACATATATATAATTATATGTAGGTATATACGTGCGTGCGAGCTATTCTGCCGAGTGAGATGTTACATGTACGATGTGCCTGTGAGTGCGTGTGACAATAATAATATAAATCCCAGAGGAAAAAAATAAAAGGGAGTATGCATCCCTCTCTCACATTATACATACATAATATATATATATATATAGTTGCAGAATATTACGAGTATTATATTATTATTTTAAAAGGATTTCTTTTTTGTCTCCCCTACTTGCCCTTTTTGAATATAATATACCTAACCTACAATATAAGCGCACGTCTGTATTGTATGTGAAAAAAAAATCGTAATCTACGCGAAAATCCATACGGACACTCCTCTTCCTGGTGCATTTTCGTCGCGTAAACACTGCCCCCCATTGATTGTCAACGCGTCCATATTGTTATTGTTATATACTATTCAGTTGTTGATGAAATGTAATAATAATAATAATAATAATATAATAAATTACATTGATAACACTGCGTATAAGCATATATTGTATGAGCGTGTGATTGTGCGCGTGCGTAACGAGTAAAATTGCCATGTTTGTATATTATCTCCCAACAGAACGTTTTGACAACCTAAAACGGTCCATACGAGTGGAACACTGATTAATCGATATAATTTGTGAAAAGAAACGTGCGCAACAGCCGTCATCACCTATACCCGCACATAATTTATATGGTATAATAATAATATGATATCGTAGTTTTTTAAACTGGCCGGTCGAAACTTGAAATGGTTTACGCTCCTATACTAAATGTCTCAATATATAGGTGGGTGGTCTAGTAAGTACTTTCATATAAGCTATAATATGGTGTCCTCAATATAAAAATTACTGTACGTTTATAAATATTAATTAATATGCATTTATCATAACTTGAACTGAACCTATACTGGCTGTACTTAATTAAATATATTCTCATTTAGGCTACTATTATAATTATTTTATTCGGTGTTTGTGATTTCCTTTAGGTAAGTATAATATGATAAAATCTCGTTGAATATTGATCTATCCAATCGTTTGTTTAGAATAATTATGTAAATACTTAATACATATTTTTAATTAGTAAGAGTAATGTAAATATAAGTACTTTATTATGTATCTTTTAAATGCATATAAGAATGAAGAAATTTTCGTACTTCATCTTTTACGATATTAAAAGGCTCATAATTCCATTAGTACTATTATAGTAGCTTTACCTATACTAATTGAATATTGATAGTTGTATGAGATAAGTCTTTAATAATGACATGAAATATCTAAACTACACCAGATACCAAAATACAAACCTAAATACAYAACTTCCGACTTACAAGATAAATTCAAATTAAATGTACTGAATATTTAAATAGTATTTATCAAATTAAGTGTTTCATATTATTATGTACATTGTAATATTATAATTATATCATTATCATTAATATATTCAACTATTAGTATAGCTGGCTAATAATACTATTAAATAGATTTTGTATTGCTATTGTAATATTAATATAAATAAATATTATGAATCCTACCATCAATAGCTCTATTATTTTTGTTTCAATTATTAAAATAAAATAATTGTCTTCAATTTGTATTTGAAATAAAATAATAATTTCAAGAATGACCTGTCAAGGGAAGAAAATAAAACAATCATGTTACGAAGATAAATATTCGTGCCAATACTGGAAAGATGTATACAAGAAGTACAAGTTTACTGCGGACTCACTCTTTTGCATTACGTGTTTTGGGCTTGGAGTGATTTTGTCTAACCATTTGCCTAAATAAACGAAATATTTTCGTCGTCAATGCGACAATGTTTAAATAAAGTACTTACATTAATTAATTTCCTAACGCATAGATACAAAATTTAAAAGATAATCTTCCAAAAACAGACACAATAATATTTATGCAAGCACGATTACAATTTAAATACATAATTAATTATCAACCGTGTATAATGTGTACATTATGTTCTACTAAAAATTATAATCACAGAAAAAAATTATTTCATTGATGCGCTTTTGTAGTGCTATCATAATTAAACAAAATTCTAAATTATGTAGACATTATTCTCACGTTAAATCATGTAACGTATCAAATAAGATAAAATCATATGTAATCAATGGCCTATAAAGTATTTCGACCGCAAAACAGTATTATATCGAGTTTTCAGCGTCTATTTTTTTTTTTTATATATATATTATAATATGTTGTTAGGTTGTTTTCTAAACTATAATACCATATCGGCACATGAAATATTAAAAAAAATAATAATTTTATGAATAAAAAAACAAAAATATAGAATATATTTAGAAGGTTTTAGCAAATTTTTTTAAGTGTTTTACTCACCATTCCTCGTTCTTTTTCGAAATTACAAGTACCATTGGCAGATTGATGGTATGAAGGAATCGGCATGTTCGGAGTAAACATTAATTGCAAATTGGTTCCAGTTGCAGTAAATGCCTATAACATAAAAGAACGTACAAATTATTATAATTATTATTTTATACAGACAGGGGTAGACGCAGAAAAAAATTTCGGGAGGTTTTTGAAAAAATAAGAATAATTACGGTTATTTGGAAATAATTATTTATTGTAACATTATATATAACTGTTTATTATAAAATAATTAATCGTCCATTAATTTCCAGGGGGGGGTTGCACCTCCCCCTGAATCCACCACTGTATACAGTTGCCTTAAATATTACTACGTTAATTAATGAAGTTTTTGTGTACAATAATTAAAAAAAAAATTTGTWAATACGAGTTAAAAATTTTAKTTATTAATGTGTTTAAAATTATAAAGAACTTACAATGTCTACATGACCTTCGCGGCATCCGATTTGAAATCGACTTTGACGTTCTTCGTGTGGTCTGTCTCTGTAACCGGTGTATCGAACCTAAAATCATTATAATTTATGATATAAAACTAGTTATTTATATTCTGMTTTTCAATAATGCAAATATAAGAACTCGGGATATGTATTTATTATAAAACAATATATTATGCTTAATCTATAATATTTCAAAATTGTATCATACTATACATATACATATAACATGCGATTATTATAAGAACTTCCAGTTTCTAAGTTGGTAGTATAAAAACACAAAAATAATACTACTATWAACATATTCTTGTAACAAAATAGTATTGAATTACTGACTAAAAATATACCCCTAATTGATGAACTATGAAATAACTTTCATACTTGTGCATTATTTTTAAAATTATTTAACATACAATAATTAGTTTTAGTTATATAATTTTAAAAAGAATGTAATATTTATACAAAATTATTGCATAGTTAGTAAATTACGTTTGTCRTGCATTTGTTACACTCAGTACTTGTATAATATTAAATGGGCATGGTAACAAATTGTATTTAAAAGGTTTTAATAGAGCTTTTACACAATGCGAGTATCCATAACAAAATTAACAATGAAATACATGACTCAACATGAAAGCACTTGCTAAGTTCCTATAAAGGCTAAATGTATATATATATAAACTTTATTTTTATTTTAACAATTATATTGTGTTCTATTGCCCCATAGACGGGATAARTCAGTTCGATTATTTTTTTTTAGTTTTATTTGTATTAACGTCAGTATATTACACATTGCATAGATTGTAATGTATAATTGGACGATGTGGACTGCTCAGCTATAGGAGAAAATAAATGTCAATTTAACCATTTTTCCAGTAAAAAAATACATACAATAGTATTTTTTAATTTAATAATCACCACGTTATCTCTCGTCATCCTCGTAAACGTGTTTATTGAAATTAGCCACAAGAAATATGAAACTTGTTTTATACGTAAGTGCATACACATACGATTATAACGATTATTAGTCACTTTTGTAAAACCCAGTCATTATGTAAGGCCGGGAAAATATATGATTCATCACTAATTTTTTGTATAACAATCTTTCACCTTTTTAGTTCTTTTATGAATGTATGTCAATATGATTATCAAAATACAAAAACCGATTGGGGCATTGAGTAAACCAAATTAATCATTAGCGTTTTGAACATTCAACATATTATCAACCTATATCAACTACCTATATCAAGTGAAAGTAAAGTATTTCGCAATTTTTCAAGCTCCTTTAGATGTTTTATCTATAAGATAATATTTTCTTAGATACTCATATTAATGAACACATTTTAATACTCATAACCATTTTTTTAATTTTTATTATTTATTATTTATTTATTGGTTTCAATGGTAATTATAAAATAATGGAAAAAAAAAGGAAAACATAAAATCTTTATGTAACACATATCTCTATATAGAGAGAGTTTACAGTAAAAATAAAAATAATCTAAAAATTTGTTTATAATTATTGATATTATATAATAAAGTTAAAACCCGTTAACTAAAATAAAATAATACGAATTATGTACACTTTTGAATAATATTYTTGCATATTTATAATATAGTATATTATATAAAATGAAAAGTAAATTTCGTTAAAAAATTTATTGGAAAATACGCTGAGTCACTTTTCTTTGGATATAGATAATAATTAAGTATTTCAATATTCTTCAAGAATGATGAAGTACTTAAGTCCAAAAAAATCAGGGTAAGTACCTATAGGTACCTACTAAACTTGACTATTTTATTGATGATACAGTTCAAGGATGACCGCATAAAATAAATATATATTTTTGTTCCTGTATAATATCTATAGTTAACCCCACTATGTCAGGGTTAAGTTTAATATATTATTATTACAACCCTACYGTAATAATGATGATGATTGTAATATAACCTTGCATGTAATAATAATAATAAAAAAAAATACTATAATGTCACCGAATTCCAACGACACAATACCCGAAGACTTGGGCCATTTATATTGCCAGCCGATTTTWACTCATTTGAAAATCCAATACTTAAAATGCTATTCATATACCATGACGTGATAAATAAAACTTTACACCCACCATTTTGAACCAGCGGGAAGCCATTCGATATACTAGAAAATCGTTTTTAACACATATACCTAACTGACCTACCAGTTGCACCTTACAGTRTTTATTACACATTTGACAATCAATACAACCAAATTTCACAGTTTAACTACCGTATTATATGTATAAGAATTATAAAATGAAATATTTCTGAACAATGTCTAATGTTCAGTAATACATATAATATGTGAATCAGACTATAATAGTATTAGGCTTTATGWGTTATGTCGTGTTTGATTATTTTTWTACGATGCGTAATAAGTCCAAAATAATGAGGCTATGTCGGACCCTATAATAGATAATATTCTTATCTTTAAATTTGATTATATGTTTAATATTAAAAATCGTAGAGTTAAACGGATTCTTCTTAACGAACAACTCGTTAAACGTCCTCTTAAAAATAATTAGAATAATCCCTGCAGGAGGTTCCCACACTRTAGGGTTTTTTTCTCCTCGTACAATTTATGTCATTTTTCAGATTATTGTACAAAMAAATATAGCTAAAGATTGTAAATATTTATTTATATTTGAAAAAGAATATAGAAAATGATTATATTTAACAAAATAATATAATAAATAATATATATATATATATATRTRTGTGTGTGTGTGTGTACCTACTATACTAATGTAGCCAATAGGTGTTGATTTGTATTTTAAATAAGTATTCCTATAAAAATTATAATTAACTAAATATGTAATCACTAATCAACATTCAAAAGAAATGAATTTTAATATTTAACTATAGGTATCTCTATACCTACTTATAGGTACTAATGTTTTATTTATTTTAACGTGATACAAACTTCGTTCTAGTGTAGGTGTCTACAAGAAAACAAGTAATCTATYTTTATCAATAAAAAAAATTACAGAAACGCTCAATAAAAATAAAATGTAATCTTCTATAACGAATGAAGTACCTACTACTACGGCCATAAGTAATTCACATACTTATACATTTTACTTCAATTTCATTAAATTTTTACACAATATACTAAAATTTTATATCTAGGTATATATTATGTTATTATTCATTACATTGTGTATTGTATGAGATAATATTTATATAACTAGTTAATATAAATTGAAAATATCAATAAATTGTCCATTTTAAAAATG